TGCTCCCCTCTCCTGGGTCCCAAGACCCTGGCCCCTCCAGAACTTCTATTTAGGAGGGTGTCAGGCACGACCATGTGCTCAGGTGGCATTGGGGGGCCTCATGGTGATCACAGGGCACTCCCCTATGCCCACCCTCCCCGCTCCAAAATGATCACATCATTACTGAGGCTGCCCGATTTCACCTCTCAGTCCCCCTGGTGCCTGGTCCAGCCTGGCACACAGTGGTACTTACTCCATACCATCCTCTCCTGCCCTGCTTCCCCTCCTTTGCTGTCGGGCTGGGTGGCCTGGCACAGCCCCTTCCCCTTGCTGAGTCTCCTTGGCTAATTAAAACCTTGGCTGGACTTGCAAGCTCTGTGAAGTTCTGGACAATATGAAGGGGATGATGATGGCATCGTAGGAATGGATGCTCACAACACATTGTGGAGGTTTTTTAAATCCTAATATATAAAAAGCCAGGGGCTGTCACGATCAAAACAACCAGATGGATGACCAAGCACAGGCTGTGTGGGGCAACAAGGCCAGGAGGGGAGTTAGTGAGGGACGATCAAATGACTGAACAGCAGGCTTTGGGAGGTAACCAGGCTGGCACGGGGGAGAAGTTGGTGGTGACCAGGCCAGCAGAGAGGGTAGTTGCAGGCGACCTAGCCGGCAGCAGGGGCAGTTAGGGATGATCAGGGTGGCAGGCAGAGGCAGTTAGGGGTGATCAGGCTGGCAGGCAGAGGCAGTTAGGGGTGATTGGGCTGGCAAGCAGAGGCAGTTAGGGGTGATTGGGCTGGCAGGCAGAGGCAGTTAGGGGTGATCAAGCTGGCAGGCAGAGACAGTTAGGGGTGATCAGGCTGGCAGGCAGAGGGCAGTTAGGGGTGATCAGGCTGGCAGGCAGAGGCAGTTAGGGGTGACCAGGCTGGCAGGTAGAGGCAGTTAGGGGTGATCAGGCTGGCAGGCAGGTTTGTAGTTAGGAGCCAGCAGTCCCAGATTGTACAATATCCATGCTGTACAGGGTACCTGCCTGTCAGTCACTTAGTAGCCGGCTCCATTATCAGATTGACTGTCGCAGTATCACAGTGCTTGTGTTCAAGTAACCCTTATTGTACATAATAAAATCACATTCACATAATTTTTATTACAGCTCATTGTTATAACTGTCCTATTTTATTAGTTACTGTTATTCATCTCTTACTGTGCCTAATTTAAAAATTAAACTTTATCATAAGTATGTATGTAGAGGAAAAAACATGGTCTATAGAGGGTTTGGTACTAACCACGTTTTCAAGTGTCCCCGGGGGGTCTTGGAACATATCCCCCACAGGTCAGCGGGCACTACTGTGTCTCCCATACGAAGGAGAAAGCCGAGGCCCAGCGAAGTCCCCCAGCCCGTCAGGGGCAGAGCCGGACTTGACCCCGGGGTTAGCCAAGTCCGAAGGCCGTGTAAGCGCTTTTCCACAGGCTGCCGGTGCCTCTGCACAAACTGGGGGTAATAATAGCTCCCGCCTCACAGGGTTGTTGGGGGATTAAATGAGCTAAGAGGTGTGAAGCCCTGGGATCAGCTCCTGGCACAGCCTCCAAGCTCAGTAGGTGTGGTCCCTCACGGCCCCCTTGCACTGGCACTGCCTCCAGGCCAGCAGCCCCTGCCAGGAGGTCATTCTCAAAGAAGGAGGCCACTCGCAAAGGCATTAGCAGTGATCATCGAGAGCAGTGGTCGGCAAACTCATCAGTCAACAGAGCCAAATATCAACAGGACAACGATTGAAATTTCTTTTTGAGAGCCAAATTTTTTAAACTTAAACTTCTTCTAACACCACTTCTTCAAAGTAGACTCGCCCAGGACGTAATATTTTGTGGAAGAGCCACACTCAAGGGGCCAAAGAGCCGCATGTGGTTCTCGAGCCGCAGTTTGCCGACCACGGGTCTAGGGTCACGGGGAAGGAGATTTTTTTAAGTGTTCCCAGTGGTCAGGTATCACTTGTGCATTTCTTTCTTTTTAAATTCTTGCTCCTATGACGCCCTCGGTGAGCTCTCAGGCTCCTCAAGGCCGGCCCGGGAGATGTCTGAGTCACCTTGCAGGTTCCCCCAAGGCCTGGCACACAGAGCCCCCAGCCAAGGGTCGTAAGAGCCCCTCCCAGCCCAGGTTCCCTGGCCACAGGCCTGCCAGGAGCCAGAGTTGGGGGTTTGGGGTGCAGCTCAGTGCCAGGAGCCTGCCCAGGCTAAGCCTGCCCTTGGCTGGCATTCCCCAGAAGGCACAGTGAGATCATGGGATGCCTCGGGGCTCTTCCGGGCCCCAGGGGAGCTGTGGGCACAGCCTGATGCCTGAGACCTCCGGCCCCGAATCCACCGACAGCTGTGGCCACTTCAGCTATTTTAAAGCCTCGGGCTCCCATCACACAGTGAGCCCTGCGGCCAGCATCCAGGGCCCTGGGCCAGGGGCAGAGCCCCGGGGGTGGGTCAGCAGGGCCAGGCTGGACTGTAAAGAGAGGGAAATTTCATTATTTTTTAAAATATATTTTATTGATTTTTTACAGAGAGGAAGGGAGAGAGATAGAGAGCTAGAAACATCGATGAGAGAGATACATCCATCAGCTGCCTCCTGCACAGCCCTCACTGGGGATGTACCTGCAACCAAGGTACATGCCCTTGACCGGAATCGAACCTGGGACCCTTCAGTCCGAAGGCTGACGCTCTATCCACTGAGCCAAACCGGTTTCGGCTATTTTTATTTTTTTTTAAGCTCTCCCTTTTTGCCAGACACTGCACTGGTGTTTTGCATAGATTGTCTCATGTAAAGTCACCCTACTTACATTGATGCCAAGAGACCCGTTGTTCACAGATGAGGAAAGTGAGGCTGCGAATGGCAGGGTGAATTGTCCAAGGCTCCACAGAGCCTAGCGCTTCCTGCCCTGCCAATCAAGAGACAACATTCGCCAAAACCGGTTTGGCTCAGTGGATAGAGCATCAGCTTGCTGACTCAAAGGTCCCAGGTTCAATTCCAGTCAAGGGCATGTACCTTGGTTGCAGGCACATCCCCAGTAGGGGGTGTGCAAGAGGCAGCTGATTGATGATTCTCTCTCATCGATGTTTCTAACTCTCTATCCCTCTCTCTTCCTCTCTTTAAAAAATCAATAAAAATATATATTTAAAAAGAGAGAGAGAGAGAACATTCCTCCTCTGTTCTTACCGCGTTGCCCCCCTCTGCCCTTTCCTCCACACACACCCTCCTCCCCCTACATCTGTGCAAGTTGCTACCCTGGCTCTGCCACTCTAGGCTGAGGACAAATGCTTTAAGCTTTCTGGGCTCACCTGCTTCCTCTGTGAGGTGGCAGGGTTGTTGGGAGGGTGCAATGATCTCATACCAATACATGCGAAGTGCCCGGCAGCAGAGGAGGGCTCACAGGAAGAACGCAACAAGGCTCACTCCCTCCTGCCCTCCTATCTCTACCCGCTCCTGCCGTGACCTGCCCGGGCCGCCTTCCGTGGCAGTGCACTGTTCCTCCCCGACTGTGGGCCCCACTTTCCCCGTGGGTGAAATAAGGGCATCATGCTCTACGACCCCCAGGAAAGTGGGAACCCCGGCATCTACCCAGTATCTGCCTCACAGAGATTCCTGGCAGAGGGGTGCCCAGACAGGAGCTCACCTCAGAGGCCTCAAAGTGAGCTCTGAGCTGCACCCCTCTTTCCTCTGACAGGCGGCCACCAGCTGGCTGTCTCCTTATTGGACGATGCCCTCCAGAGCCCATCAGAAGTTTCCAGCACCTCCCCGTGTCTGTGCCTTTGAGGGGGGGAGGGGGATACAATGGGAGGGGGGCAGGCGGGAGACACGTGCTCCCTAGCCTCACTCAGGCTTTTCCCCTTCCCCACCCACATTCCTCCCAGATCCTGGCCACCCCGGAGCAGCTGGGCTCTTCCCCGGCTCCTAATTTGGCTTTTCGAGGAGGCCAAAGAGGCCGCTGGGGTCAGGCGTGTGTCTGGGCTCTTCACCCTCTGAGCCTCCACCCTCAGGGCTCCCATCCTCCCAGCAGACCTCCTCCAACACTCATCCCCTCCAACCTGTCCCTCCCCTCTTATACCCCATCCACACACACCCCCCTCGGCTCCCGTTCCCAGCAAGGACTTGCCACACGTGGCTGAATTATTTGAACAGACTTGGCATTAGGGCTGGAGGACCTGGGACAGGGGTGGGGTCTGGACTGGTTGTCCTCCTGCACCTCAGCCTCCACAAGACACAAACTGGTGTCCACAGCGGCACCTCTGGCACCCTCCTTTGCCCAGTGGCCCGTCCAGAACATCGCCCCCTCACTGTCCCTCCACCGGAGCATCAAGATTTCAGCTCACAAACACTGGCCCGATCAATCCCTGCCTCTCCAGCCCTCATGCGGCCCCAGCAGGGGTCTTCATTGACCCTCCCCAGGGGCACCTCCCTGCACCGCAGCCAGAATGGCCCCTTTGACTGCCACACCTGACCACTCCTCGCCAAGCCAAGGCTCCCATCGCCCACCAATGCATTGGCTTGGCAATGTGGCCCCATTCTCCCTGATCTGATTGTTGGGGGGCGGAGGAGGTGTCCTGCTGTATCTGGCTTCCTGCCTCTGCTCAGGCAGCTCCCTCTCTTCCCTTCCCCGCTTTGCAAAGGCCTCTTTTCAAAAGGCTCTGGTCCCGAACCCCAGGCCAGGTTAGGGCACCCACTCCTCTGGGCTCCCACCACCTCCTGCGCTTGCCCCTGTGGCAGCTCCCCATTCGCGTTATCTACCCCGCAAGGCTGGGGGTACCCGAAGGAGGTCCTGAGCCTGCATTCCGGTGCCCAGCAGCTGGGAGCCCACTGAAAGTCCTGTTGAATAAATGAGTCAGCTCCCAAAGGAGAAAATTGCTCTCAGCTCATCTCCTCGCCGCCACCAGGGGGACGCGGAGAGGCGGAGGGCGTGGTCGTGGTTGACTGACGGGCCGTCAGCCCAATGGAGAGGAGCCAGCAGGCCGCCCCGCCCACGCCCCGCCCCCCGCCGGCCGAATAAGGGTGCGGAGCAGCGGGCCGGCGGCAGCGGCAGTGGCTCACCTGTGCCAGGTGCCGGCGGACCAGCGGGCGGACCTGCGGGCACCGCACGGGCCGGCGCTGCGGGAAGATGCTGCGCGAGCGGACGGTGCGGCTGCAGTACGGGAGCCGCGTGGAGGCCGTGTACGTGCTGGGCACGTTCCTCTGGACCGACGTGTACAGGTGAGCAGGTGCCTCGTCTGCCCGGCCGCCTCGGACCCGGGCCCCGCGGGAGGTCTCGGCCCCGGATATCCTGATGCCCTTCCGATACCCTCCCGGGAGCCGACAGCCTTGCTCCAGCCTGAGTTGCCCATCATCCCGCGCCCAGACAACCTAAGAACCTCGCCCAGAAACCTGACAGCCCCGAGCCTTGTACCAGCCTCCCCGAAATCCTGAGACCCTGCTAGACACCCAGCTCAGCCCCAGAGCCCTCACTGCCCTTTCCCAGGTCCCCTTCTCTGCACCCGGGCTTCTGCCCTCTCCAGCACCCAGGGCGACCTCAGCACCCCCTCAGCCTTCCCGCCTTCCTCTCCCCTTTCACTTCCCCACTCTCCCCTCAGAACTGCCCTTCTCCCCTATACCGCCCCCTTTTCCCTTCAGCCCCTCCACCTCCACTCCGCCCAGCCGCTCGCCCACTCCCTGCTCAGCTGAGCTCCCTCTGGGAGCTGCTGGGAGCTGCCCTGGGGCGGACTCTGGCCCCAGGGGTGCTCAGGCTCCGATTTCACCCTGTGGGGGCTGCTGTCCTCGGGCACTGGCTGTGGGCTCCGTGTCCCCAAATGCCTTCCCTCGACTTCACCCTGGGGTCCAGGAGGGACCTTGTCCCACCCGCTGAGGGGGCAGAGGTAGGGTCTACTTCAGAAGAATGCCCCTATCTGGGATCTGTTCTCCCACCCTCTGTCCATGAACTTGGTGGGGTGCAGGATTTCTGAGACAGCAGAAAGAGGGGTGGGGGGACTGGGGTCAGGGCCCCACCCCATCCCCCAGGAAGCAGCCAAGTCAATGATCCATCTCCCTAAGCTGTGTGAGGTGGGCCGTGTGAGGGTGTGACCGGTGCCAGTGACATAGTGGGGAGTCCAAGGATCATGCAGCCTCTATTCCAAGAATTCCAAATGTTCCCTGGTGTCAGGGGGAGGGCTCTGTGCTGACAGCAGGGGCAGGCAGGGCTGAGGTGGGACCCCGCGCTGATATCTTTGGGGGGGGGGGGTCCCCTAACATCTCTGTGCCTTGAGCTGAGCAGGAGGTGCCCATGTGGCTTATTGCTCCCAAATCACTGTCCCCGGAGCGCCCTGCCTCTCTCAGGCCCCCACAAACCCCTTCCCTGTGTCTTTCCACTCACCCTCCCCAGCCCAGGCTCTCTGACCCTTTAGGGCTGGCAGCACTGCCCAGCCAGCCTCCTGCCGCCTCAGCAGGCACTGGCCACGAGGACACCATCGAGCCAGGCTCCCTCTGAGGCAAAGGGCCCACTCCCTGCAGGCCAGGACCCTCCCCATCAGCGGCCCCGGCCTCAGTTGCCCCACATGTGAGTCTCGGGGGGTTCAGAGGGCCACCGCACAGCAGCGGTGTGCAGCCCTGTCCTCGGGGGCCCGGGAGAGCTCCTCTTTTCCCGCCCCCACCCCCACCCTGAACTGGGCACTGTCAGGGAGCCGGCGGGGAGCCAGGATGCTCAAGTCTCTAAGCCTCTGCTGTCACCATACCCGCCTGTTTATGCCCTGGACGCAGCCTGGAAGGCTGGCAGGGAACCTCCAGTGGGGGGGTGGGGAGCAAAGAAGGGGGGTCCAGTGTAATTGGGGGGGAGGGAGTGTGGGAGGTGTGGACTCATCTTTGTCCTTTCTCAAGAAATCAGTCACAGCCACAATGACCCACACCTCCCACCCACACTTCACTAAGACTCTCCACCCCACCACCCCCGCCGAGAGAGGTGCAGTCGAGCCAGCACTGCCCAGCAGCGGGAGAGTGCCAGCCACGGATAGAACCGCGGGTCATTCTCCATTTCCCAGTAGCCACATTTTTTAAGGTTAAAATAAATAGGTGAAATTAATGTTAGTAGTAGATTTTATTTAGCCCAATTTGTGCAGACACATTAGCATTCTGACTCATAATCAATATAACAGTTACGTATTAGGTCGCTTGCAGCCTCTTTTGCATATTAAGTCTTTGGGATTCGGTGTGTCTCTTATACGGACATCACATCCCAGTGCGGTGACCGCATCTCAGATGCTGCACAGCCACCCGTCACTGGTGGCCACCGTGCCAAACAGCCAGGCCTCGAGCCGGGTTTCTCAGCCTGGGCACTGTTGCGTTGGGGGCCAGAGAATTCGTTGTTGTGGGGACTGTCCTGTGCATCGTCGGGTATGAGGCAGCATCGCTGGCATCTGACCCCGAGATGCCAGTAGCAGCCAGAAAGGAAGCCCATTCTGGAATGAAGGAGGCAACGGTTGTTCCTCCTGTTTCTGTGGCAGGAAGAGCCCCTGTCAGTATGAACAACAGCAGGGGGTAGGAGGAAGCTCTTATGGACCAAATGCATGATCTGCTACCTTCCTCACCAGAGACCTCCGGGTCCTGCTGGGATCAACCCATTTTGGAGATGAGGAGAGTGAGGCTCAAAGAGATGAAGCCATTTGCCCAACCTCACTTAGGACTCAGGTCCAGCTCTGTCTGAACTCATACTCCGCCTCCCCTCTATCCTGTGTGACCCTAAAACTGGCAGGTTGCACTGGATGACCCTCTCAGCTGGTGTCTCTTCCACCCTCCACCTGGGCCCAGAGACCCGCCCACCTGCTTTCCACCCTCCCCTTCCAACTGCGTCCCCCCTGACCCAAAGGTCCTGACTCAAATCCCCACGGATGCTCCCCACCCCAGGGTCTCCAAAGAGACACCAAGGACAAGGCCTGGTGCGCCCTGGGCCCAGTGAGTTAGGGATGGTATCCTGACTCCTCACGCCTTCGGAGTCACGGGCCTAAGGGGACAGGCTTTAGCTCCCACACCCTTTCCCAAGGGCCCTGGGCTCCTCTTTCCTGAGCTGCACACACAGCTGGGCCCTCGCCTTCCTCGTCCCCAGCAAACTCTCCGACCCACCCACCCTCTCCCAGCAAAACAGGTCGGATGCCCTGACCCAACCACGTTCTGTCTCCGCCAGCTCTGAGCACATGCGCAGAAAGAGGGAAGTGTGACGCTTTGTGTGGAGATGGACGTTGAGATAGCTATTGAGGATACTTGCCACTTCCTTCCCCTGCTCCCACGTGCACTATCTCAGTCTGGCCGCGAACACCTTGTCCACACATTCCCCCCGCGGTCTCTCTACCTGGCCGCCGCTTCTGCCCTGGGGCCAGCCTGGGTCCCCTCTGATGGTGACTGGAAGTGGGAGAGGGGGCACAAGGGGAGTGGCATCCCAGGTTGGTTTCACCATCTCTGGCAGGTGATGCTTCCTTGAGCCGGAGTCAGGGACACCCATGCAGCCTGGAGAGAGCGGAGAAAGGGCAGCCGTGGGGTAAAGTGACAGCGGGTCACACCCCGCCCGGCTCTCCCACTGACCCACAAACCACCGGGAGACGGCTCCTCCTGGCCTTCCCTCCGCTTCTTACATCACATCACATCCTGTCACGTCTCAGTGCAGTCACCGCATCTCAGATGCTCCATAGCCGCCTGTCCCTGGTGGCCCCCGAACTGAACAGCGCAGGCTCAGGGCTCCCCACTGGGCAGCTCACCCTAGTACCTGGTCAGGAGAGGCTGGGTCTGCACCCTGACCCTGCAAGAGCTACAGGGCAGAGTAGGTGTAAACAGTTGCTCTTGCCCCTGCAAGAGACATTTGACCCCAGGAGGAGCCCAGGAGGTAGGAGGTAGGAGGTGATCCCTGCCCCCTTCCCCAGGAAACCCCAAGGCTCAGGCTGACCAGGCACTTTTCTCAGCAGGGCCTTGCCCCTCACTCTCTGGCAGGAGATGGGAAGAGGGTACCAGGGCAGAAGTTCCTAGACGTTGGCACAGTCAAACCCCGGGGAAGAGCGCGATAGGTCTCCCATCCCCACCTCGCCCTCAGACTTCCTCCCTCCGTCCCTTGGTTGGTGTGTTCAGAAAGTACCCTTAGGACGAAGGCCAGGGAGGGTGTGCGATCCGGTCTGAAGCGATGGGGACTTGGGGTGCCCTGGTCTCCCCTCCCCACAGAGTGCCAGGCCCTTCCTCGCTGAGTTTTCTCCTGCCAGTTCTCCAGCACAGACTCCGCTCCGGCCACACTGGCTTTGGGACGCTGTCAGCCCCGGAGCACCCAGCTCACGCCCACTGCAGCACCTCTCAGGTGCTGTCCCTCTGCCTGGAGCACCCCCACACCCAGCCCTCTACAAGCCTGACCTCCACCCATCACGTCTCAGCTCGAAAGTCACTTCCACCGACATGTCATGGAGCCCTTCACTGAGCCCCAGGCACTCTGTACCTCGTGGCTGTGTGTTTTTCTTTGCAGATCTTATTATATGCACTGGCCATTCCTAGCTAACATTTAGTTAACGCCTCTTTTTTTTTTTTTTTTTAATATTTGGATTCTTTTCAGTCGGTGTTGTTGTTTTTTTTTTTTTCCAAGTATATTTTATCGATTGTTTTTACAGAGAGGAAGGGAGAGTGATAGAGAGCTAGAAATATCGATGAGAGAGAAACATCGATCAGCTGCCTCCAGTACACCCCCTCCTGCGGATGAGTCTGCAACCAAGGTACATGCCCTTGACCAGAATCGAACCTGGGACCCTTCAGTCCACAGGCCAACGCTCTATCCACTGAGCCAAACCGATTAGGGCTAGTTAATGCCTCTTTTGAATCAGGCAGCCTTCTCAGCAACTTGCATAGTCATCTTGTTCATATTTAATAATTTACATGTGTTTAAACTTCATAACAACTTAAGAAGGTAGTGCTATCATTGCCCCCTTTGGCAGTCAGGGAAACTGAGGTGAGGAATGTTTGTCCAAGAGGACACAGCAGGCAAATGGTGGCAGCACAGAGCCAGGCCCCTGTCTGCACTGCCAGTGGCTCCTGGGGGGATTTGTGCTTTAGGTGTGACCCCTCCATGCTCACTGCCTTGCTAGGTCCGTGCCCCTCCAGCCCCTAAGTCAGTGAAGGGCTTCTTAGTCAAATGAATGAATGAATGAATGAATGAATGAGTGATGTGCAGCCTGTAATGTGTTGGACTGGCTTGTCATTGGGCT